TATGTGGTTGATATTTTCAGGTCAGGGCAAGGGAGCAGAAGATAGGAATTGATCCGGATCTTCAGGTTTTTGTCTTTTGATGATTTTAATTCTTTTGTACTCAGGATAGATTTCAGTACTGGTGATTGTAGTGTAATTCCTGAGTATTGTACATGACCTTTTGAGAGACTTGTATATTGATGTTTTAAATTTTATAGATGTTTGATATATTGTGAATTGAAGGTTTTATATAACTCTGGTAAATTGTTTGAGAAATTGATTGACATTCTTTCCAAGTTAGATCTTGGGGTGTGACATGCAGGGGTATTGAAAAGACTACTAAAATGATTAAGAAGAATTCTAGCAATGTCTTAATGGCTAGAAAAATCCCCTTCCTGCTTGGATAACACTTTTAAAGTGATAATATTTTTCCTAATTCTGATTTTGACGTAAGGGAACCCAAGATCCTCTTCCCCATAAGAATGCCAATTAATCTTAGATATTTGAAGAATCCAAGAGGCCTAAAACATTTGATAATCAGAAAGCAAATCATTAATTTATTTTAGCTTAAAGTTGATAGAATAATCCAAAGGATTATTATCAATTTCATTAAGCAAATTCAACTACTTTGCTTTTAGTTCCTCAATTCCCTTAGCAATAAAATTGGAGGAATTCCAATTTTTTCATTTTAAACATTCTCTTTAAACTTTGAAGACTGGAATAAAGAGAAGCAATTGGACTAGAAGTAGGATAACTTTGAAAACCATCCAATGCCATTTTTCTGAACCCACCCATATTAGACCAATAATTTTTGAAAAGGAACCTAGAGGCCTTAACTTGAATAGTATAAGTTTGAATAATAAGAGGAGAGTGGTCTGAACATTGCGGAGCATCCACAATACAATAAGAATTAGGATATAGATCCAACCATTCTGAATTCACCAAAGCTCTATCAAACTTACAGTGGATTGGATTTTCTTTATGTTGGTTAAATCAAGTGCAGAACAGACCAGCCGAGGAAAGGTCAATAAGACCACAATCAAAGATTATTTTATTAAAATCCCCCAACTTGCTCCGTTGTAAGGATACACCCCCCATTTTCTCATTGTCATACCTACAATAATTATAGTTACTAACCAAAATCCAGGGTTGTGACATGTTATTAGCAATATCATTAATAAGAGCCCAAAGAGATCTCCTATCCTCAAGAGAGTTCGCAGCATATATAACCGAAATATAGAAAGAGGAGGACGAATCTAAAGTAATTCTTCCATGAATAATTTGATCTAAGACAATTGTAGGATTAAATGACATATAAGAAGAATCCCATTTTACCTAGTTCCTAGCCGGAGAAGAGACATTAAAATTGTTACAGGAACCTTCATTCTCATAAAGCTTATGAGAATTAATAACCCAAGTATCAGCAAGCAATGAGTTATGAACTTTTGCCTCCAGAATACAAAACAATTTTAACTTGTGGATTGAAATGAGATTTTTGCAGGCTAAATATTTTTTTGGACTGTTAAACCCTCTAACATTCCAACGCACAAAAAGGGGAGGAGTCATCTTGATTTAGAAGACTTTTGGTTTTGAGGGGGAATATGAGGCTGTATAGGAGGTTGACTAGTGATATGGAACTTATGAAGAGGAGAATTATTTTTTGATTGAATATTTTCTTGAGGAAGCTTTCCTAGGATTATAGACGTGACCTCCTCAATCTCAATCTCCTAAGACGTTAACAAGGTATTTTTCATGTCAAGCAAATTAAATTTATTAGTAAGAGTGATTCTCGAGCCAGTGTTAGCCAAAACTGTAGGATTTGGTTCAAAAGAGGATAACTCTTCTGTAGGGAAGTTGAGATTGGGAATATTGATGTCCTTACCCTCTTTTCCTTTGTCACTTTGCGGCATTGGAAAAACAGTATCTTAACAATAATTTTGGGGTATTGATGATTCAATAAGAGAGGCTATAACCGGCAATGGATTAGGAGGATCAGCTGAAGGCGTAGGTAGTAACAGTGGTAGATTGGAAATTGGATGCTTTTTGAAGCGTTGATGTCTGCTGGTACGTCTTCCTCTTTTCTTAGGAAGAGTACTAATGGACAAATGTTGATCAGGGGTGGGGTTAGAAGGACACATGTTCGAATGATGAATAAGAGATCCGCAATTCTCACACAGAGTCAGATTACATTCATAAATAACTTTTAAAGCATATTCCTCCCCTTCAATCTCAATCAAAATTTCATCAGGAAGTTTAGAGTCTATAGAAATTTGGACACATATCCTGGAAAAGCTGAGACGAGTGGTTTGGCAGTAAGATTATCAACTGTAAGTGAGATTCCAATATAACTTGCTATTTTAGAAATACCCGAAGGAGTCCAAAGAGCAAGGGGAACATCCAGAACCTTGATCCATATAGGAATAGAACCTTTGAATTTAGGTGACCATTGTTGAAGAACAAAAGGTTTACCTAGAAAAAACTAAGGCCCTCCAGACCAAACCATGTTTAATCTTCCAAATTATTAAATTTCAGCAGAAAAAAAACCTTCAGAAAGAAAGATCAGCAAGAAAGATCCTTTTAACTTCCACAGCTTATTCATGGAAGTGAGAAGCCTCTCGTAATAAGGTCTTTGACCAATAGAATATCCAGTAAGATATAGGTTCCAAAAATATATACCTTTCGAGATATCATCTGCTTTAAATGATAATTTTTGCTCAAAAGGAACAAAAGTCATAGGAAAAACCTCAGATCGGGTTTCAGGAGCAATAAAGTTATCCGTCCAATGAGCCGAGATAGCCGTTGTCTGCTGGCCGAGCATAGAAGTCTTTGAAAGAGGAGGAAAATCTTTCATATTTTCAGCCATCAGGGTCGGAGGGATGGGGGAGAAGCCCCCCTCGATGAAAAAACCCTATGTTTCGCAAGGAAAGCCCCCGCTTTTGCAAAAATCCTAGAGCCCCCTCGTCAGAAGACATGATAAATATAAGTCTCGAATTTAAAATCTATTAATTGCTAATCAAAATTTTCAACCAATCAATCAAAATGAGCTAAGTAAATTCTTTTTTTTAAAGAAGCAATATTATAACCATGTGACAAAGGCTTAATTTGAGATAATGTTCTTAATATTTTCTAAAGTAGCTTTTACACAAAAAAATTTTTGTAATAGAAAACTACTTTATAAAGCAGTAAAAAAAGCTATCCCAAACAAAACCAAAATCTGCAACTACATCAATATTAAAACAAGGGATGGTTTATGACAAATTAGTGTTTAATAAATTTAGCTTTAATGTATCTATATTTTAATTAATGGAAAAATAAGTATATATGTCATACTCTTATAAATTTATCTTTTAAAATTAATTCCTTTTTTTAGTAGATAATTTCATTTTTTGTCGAAAAGAAAGAAAAATTATACAATAGGAATAACATCATACAAATATGTCATATAACTAATGAATAATATTGTACTAATAGTAGCCTAGCCTCCATGTTAGTTGAACGTGCCTACAATATATGCATCTAATAATTTGATCAACATAAAGGAGAGGAAGATGAGCACAGAGCATTTAGAGTGTAATAAAATAAATCTAAGTCCTATATAGAGGAATGTGAGGTTTGATGATCAAAAAGTGATGAAGATAGCGATGTGTATCGAATGTTTAATAATAAATCTATGGCTTCATGTTTGGGGGATTGGAAATAAACAACGCAACAAAACAAGCAAGAAAATAAATGCCATTGAAAGTAAAGCACATTAGGATTTAACGTAGGAAAACTTGAAATCGAAAAAAAAAAACCATGAAGATGTACCACACCAAGAAATTCACTGTAAAATTTGGGAGAATTTTGCACAAATCTATCTTCTCTCTTACACCTTTCTCACGCATAAAACAAAAATAAAAGTCATGTATAAACCACTAAGGGACACCACCCCTGAAAAAAAATAAGAAACAAAAACTGTTTAGTCCGCCTCAAAGCACTAAAACACTTTGGTGCTAAGCAGTATGTTGTTTCTCCAAGCAAACTTTGTAACACTCGGTGCTTCAGAACGCAGCGTTGGGGCGCTCGGGTACACAACATCAAACCTCTCGGGTACACAGCACTGGAGCGTTGTACAAAAAAAAAATTTCCGATGCTAAGCATTCGAACCCAAACAATAAGAGAACCCTCTGCTAAGGGACGGCACCCTTGAAAAAAACAAGAAACAGAAACATTTCAGTCCGCCTCGAAGCACTAAAACACTGTGGCACTAAGCACCATGTTGTTTCTCCAAGAAAACTTTGAAACACTTGGGTGCTTCATAATATAGTGCCGTGGAGCTCAAGTACACAGTATCATGCTTCTCGGGTACACAAAACTAGAACGTTGCACAAAAAATGTTTAGATTCAAAGCACTCGAACCCAAACAAGAGAACCTCCCCCCCACCCGGCCAGCAAACCAAAAAAAAAAAAACTGGAGCATGACAAATGGTTAAGTAACAGCACAACCCAATTGATGGGAACAATTAGACTCCACACATACTAATAAAAATTATGTTCAATTATTCATGTATTTTTTTATAAAATTAAATATTTTTCTAAGACCATAAAAATTGATGGATCAAGATTATACAAAAGTTTTGGCAGGTTAACAACTTGTTGATTAAAAGTATAAAATTAAAACTACTTATGTTGTCTAATCTTATTATACAAAGATTTTTAATGCAATCTTTATCAGTCAACCACACGTTCGGTCAATTTTGGAGAAGCATTAATCTAAAGATTTCTTTTTAAAATCAAGCAGCACACAGAAAACGTAGCGAAATTTTTCAAAAAAAAAAAAAACTTGTTTTTTAATCCCTACCCATCCAGCGTGTAGCGAAATGAAATCTAGCATGTTTTTCTTTTGGGAAGGGTATTTTTGTTATGAGAATAAACATAAATTCTATAATATTTAATTGATCAACAGATCAATTCCAGCTTGTCAAAGGAATTCATTTATGGCCTTCCCTCCTTGCATTTCCCTCTCCACTTTCTCTGTGACGTACAAAAGGCAGAAGGCCGAAAGGGAAGAGAAAAGCGGTGAGAAAAAGAACAATCCATTGAAGTTGGTAGCCCTCGACAGAAAAAGGCAATTCCTCGCTGGCCAAATCGACGAAAATCAGGTCTAGAGACAGAAGGAGAAATGGTGGAGATGCCAATTCCTTTTGGTCCATGGAGGACTTTTTTATAATGAGCGACCCACGCATATGCCTTTGATGGATATCCACCGATTTTCTTTCCTCTTACGTTGTATTTGAATGTAAAAGTTTAGCAGGCGAGCGCATGAAGTTGGTGGAAGAGATGTGTCTTCAACTTATTTGATGGTGAAGTGAGTTTTGATTTTTGGAAGGTAATCGCTAAAAAAGATGAGGCTTAAAGGTCGGTTTCACTTAATTTTCCCCTTTTTCTTAGGTTGATATCCGCATTTTGGGAAGAGAAGACGGATCATTTATGAAAGTCCGGTGGATCCGAAAAGAAGAATCATGCATCCAATTGTTTGTTTGTTGCTTATGTTCTGAAATTTGTTCAGGGCTGCCTTTTTGTTTTGTCTAAAAGCTGCATCGATTTGGAATTTCAGTTCCCAGTGCATTGAATCGCTGAAGAAGGAAGCAAATTAAGCCTTCTCTTTATCGCTTTAGATGCACTTGATTAAACTTTATGAGGATGATTCAAGAGAAGCTGTTGTTTGATTAAAGTTCGGAAGAGAATTGTGGGATTCGATCGGAAGCCAAGAAAAATTTTCTGAATCCTTACCACCTTGAAGAATAAAAGCATCTCACAGACCATAGCTTCCCACAAAGTTGTAGAAGAACAGCAAGCACTGATATTGGATCTATCTCATTAGCATCTCCTGTAAAAGGCTTATATTTCAGGTATTTGATTCTTTGAGGTGGAATAGTTTGTGATGTATTTTTAATTCTGCTTTAAGAGGAATCAAAAACCTAAAAAATGAATATATGTTAGATTTGTGAATTATAACTTTCTCTTCGCTCTGTATTGATGTACCGATCTTCAAAGCTAAATAAATAATCAGTACTAATTTTCAACAACTTATTCTGATGCTTCATGATGAAATACTCTGGAAGTGGATACTTTATATTTTTACCGTCTTAGAACACTGCAGTCTTTATCAGTTCAATTAATAGCTAGAGATTCCTTATCATCTTTTTCATGGAAACTGTCTAATAGTGCTAATACTTAAAATGCATTATCAGATAATCTGCCAGAGATTCCTGCTTGCATTATTTTTTATCCACAAAATTTTCAGTGACTAGATTTAGGAGTTCACCTGCATCCAAATGTCAAGGTATTTACATTGAAAGGCCGTGATAAAAAATTACTTACTACTAAGAGAGATTGCGGTAGAATTTAAACTATAGTTATCATATATCTGGACATGAAAATTACCAGCGAATATGAAGAATCTCTCAAGTAAATGACACCTCTCCATGTGAAGGCTTATATGAAAAACGTGAGACTTGTGGAGTCAAATCAGTCAGCACTCTCTGAAACACTAACATGTGAGACCTGTGACTTTGGAAATGCTATCTAGCTGTCTTGCCTTAAAAACTTTTTTTTTTTTTTGGAACGGGTAACCACCCGCTTCCACCCTCAAAAGGATGTTTGATGTCATGTCTAATCCTCGGCCGATCTAGAAGAGACACCCACTCTAAAAATCTCCTAACCCGCACTAGATTGGGCCCCACTTAAGAGGCGTTACAGATCGAGAGGAATCTGGCATGAGTTGGGGGTTCCTAGCCGTACTCGCCCACCAACCAAACTAAGCATTGGTGAGAGCCTGGAAACTTTTGGCGTGCCACAAATTTGTGAGAGTAATGATTTGTATGGAATATGGGTAACTTAAAATATTGAATAAGCATCTCTTTCATTGTTTCGTGACCAACATGGGCAGAACCATTAAGAAGGAGCTTGATGATCTCATGAATGGTGATTATTTATTTTATATCGAAGGACGCAACAAATATAACCAAACAAAGCCATATGAGCAGATGAGCAACTAGAAAAATATGACACTTTGAACATAAAATATGCTTGAACAAGTACAAATCCTGTAAAAACCATTTTGGGGAATCTGCAGAAAAACTTCAATATTCCTATTATTGTGTTCTGTTAATTTGATTTTTGTTTTTACTAGTTTTAGTTGTCCTTTATTGATTTGGAGCTTTCAATTTTCTAGTAGTTGCAGCTTGACGCTAATTATGGCCAAGAAATCTCACAAACGCTCTCCACGATTGAGAAAGGAAAATTCAAGTTGTATGGGAGGTTTCATCAGCATGTTTGATTTTCGTCAAGGGCGTTCTTCTAGGTTGCTATCAGATAAGAAGTGTGGGAGTGCTAGAGATTTAGGTGAGAAACTTCACAATAATCCACCGAAATCATTCCTTTTACATGTTTATTCTCAACTTTTTAAATGGGGGGAGAGATTATTCTATGCGGACACCGGACATAGCTTACCATCCAGAGGCTAATCAGGCGCAGCCACGTTATCCAATACCGAGCAGTATTGAGTAGTACCGAGCCGCGGTACCGACTACGGGGTGACGTGGCGTATTTTCATTGGGCTCTGGACGGCGTTCGGCATCCGCACAGAATAATTTCACGGTTTTGTGACCCTATAAAATGCTTTAGAACTACTCCACGTGGTAGGCTTAAAGGCATTCCGTTAATTACGCTAAATTGCCAATTCAAGCAGCACTGCATTTTCTCACGCAGGCATGGGATTGGCAATGGAGTTTTTTACATTTTATACTGCATTCAAATGTATAAAATACATTCTAGTCATAATACTTTCTTTCACTTGTCATCTTGAGCTGTGTATTATCTTTTACAGGCACTAGTTATCCAAGCAACAAAGATGATCTCCCAGGTAAAAACGAGGAAAATCATGGGGACTCTGAGAATCTGGCCAACTTATCTGTGAGTCCGTAGCAGGCTCGACTATATATATATATATCTTCAATTTTTTTCATGATTGAGTAGAAATGATGTAATCTTTTCAAATGAGCGACAACAATTTCTTTTTCTGTTTACTCTTAAATTCAACTACTGAGAATTTTAACTTTACTGATACCTTGGCCTGTTTGTTTTCAGGATGGTGAAGCTGATGAAACTGACAAGGCTAATTTGGGTGTGACCAGTATTAAAGCGCTCATGGAGGAGGAAATGTCAAGAATGCACTACCCCAGGAAGGAATCTTCTTCCAAAATTGAATGGTTAAAAGCTGAGTTGGAACTCGAAGCCATTTCTGAGAAAAGTCATAATGAGCAATCTAAGAATAGTTTGGTAGGCTCTGATGATCATTCCAATGAATTAAATTTTTCTACGAGATTGACATCCCAACAGTCTGATTATCCAAATGTATCAGAGCTGCTTTCTTCAGACATAGATGTGGCTGCATTCATGGTAGATTACTGCAGCACTAGAGATCAGTATCCTTCCCGAGTAAGCATGGAAGATCTCCAAAAAAGTGAACTAGACAACGAAGATGTGACTATTCTGCAGAAGGCCATTGTTGATATAGCTAAGGCACTTTTACAACAAAAAACTTCCAATTCAAGCAAGCTTGTTGGAAACACAGAGGTCCAGCGAGCAGAGGAATTCAGCAATGCATTAGAGATGCTGAATTCTAACAAGGATTTATTCCTAAAGCTTCTTGGAGAACCAAATTCACCCATCCGCAAGCATATTGAAAACCTCCAGAATGTTCGCATTCCACCTTCGAAACTCGATGAAAATCATTTGTTTAGGGAACTTCCAGGATCAAAGCAGCATCAGAAACAAAGTGGCCACCATCTCTTCAGGAGAAGAGAGAAATTAACAGTAGCAAGCCAATCAAATGAATGCACTGATGCTAAAGTTGTAAATAGAATTGTTATTCTGAAGCCTAGTTTTGTCAAAAATCAAAATCCTTCAAATACAGTTAATACAAAATCTTCTATTCAATCGCATTGTAGCGTTGAAAACAAGGAAGATGGAGAAGAGCTTTCATCCCATTTTTCACTCAAAGAAATTAAAAGGAGATTCAGAAATGCAGTTGGTGGAAGCAGAAAGGAGAGACTCTCAATCGCCATGGATGGCATTCTTCATAAGATTCCATATGGTAAACAGACGAGCAGCAAGAATGAAACTTCTTGTAGAAGAGAGGCCCTTGAAAGCGAAGATCAAAAGAAATCAAATAACAAAGAAATTCAAAACAAAAATGAACTAACATTTTCTACCAAAAGTTTTCGTGAACACAAAAATTTGAACAAGAATGCTGCTCCGCAAATCCTGTACAGAGAAGCTGCCTTCTATGATGAAGCCAGGAAACATCTTTCTGAGTTACTTCAGATGGAAAGTAAAGTTGAAGCATTGCCTGCTATTCAGGTATCAAAATCCTTGGGAAGAATACTCTCTTTTTCAGGATTTAACTACTTTTCCCCAAGGCTAAGCCCGGCAAGAGAAAAAGAACCCGAGTCTCCTCAGGAAAAGACATCAGTACTTCTATGTCACTCTAATCAAAATGTTGATACTAAATATTTCAACTCATCAAGACATAAAGAGAGCTTCCCTACTACTAACAATAGCCAGGAGGCAAAAAATGGTACAACTTGCAATCACAGATTCTGTTCATAGTTTTCGAGTAATTGCTTTTTTATTATGATTTTTAAGTATTAGAATCCATACAGGGAGCATGATAATTACAGAAATTGAAGATTGCATGCAAATTGAAGAAGGTAGCCACGTAGAAGTACAATTTGTATCCATTAGCAATGAAGATGATCTTCCTAGTGAAATTTTCATGGAAGAAGGATCTTCTATGCTACTAGAGCCAGTAAATTATTTACCACTGAAACATCTTTTTCATGTTTCCCACTATGTGTTCGAATAACCTTTTTTTTTTAGGTAAAATTTGAGGAGATGTTTCAACCATCAACCTCCACTGCCTCTAGTTCTTCTGCACTACAAGAACCAAGAGATACAGAATGTGCCATAGATAATACTGGCCGTCCAAGTCCAATTTCAGTTCTTGAACCCCTCTACTATGAAGATGTAAACAGCCCTGCAAGCGTGATAACAGAGCATGGTATGTCATTTGTTGTACTTTTCTATTTGACTTCCATTTTTACAATAATTGAAATCTTCTTCACATGTAGAGATCAATGCTGATAGTAAAACGCAGCCTAGAGAACCTCAAATTGATACTTCTGCAGCAGCTTCAGGCTCCATAGATTCTGAAGTAAACACACTAACATGCATGGAGTTTGATGAAGCTTCATTATTTGATGAACTGGAAATATCATATGGTTTTCTGATAAAAGATCCAAAGTTCCTCTTTGATTCAATCGATGAGGTGGTTACAGAGATCAAGCAAAGGCATTTCAGTTGCTCCCCTTGGGTGTCGCATATATGGCCAAGCATTAGACCGCTACAAAAACAAGAAGATTTCATAAATGAAGCATACAAAAGGATCAACTGGCATTTAGATGTACAGTTTCCAATAACAATGGAGCAGGCTGTAAAGAAAGATTTTCATGGTGGAGCCTGGTTTAATCTTCAGCTTGAAGCTGAAGATGCTGTTGCTGAGATTGGAAATGAGATTCTAGATTATTTGTTTGAAGAAACAGCGCTGGAGTTGTGGGATTGATATGCAATAATGTCAAATACTGAACAAGAGAAGCTACATCCGGTTAGCATATAAATAATTAATCTGAACATTATTAAGTATCAGAATAGCAGTGACTGTAGAGACTGGATTTGCTGGTGGAGTAGAGGATACTCGTCCTGATGATTCTCAGTGTTCAGCATATAAAATGGATGTAGCTTTTGTAGAGTATTTGAATATGATATTCTTTTTTTTTTTCTTTTTTTTATAGATACATGCTGTGGCTCATCATTTGTAGTTTAGAACCTTTTGGTGAGTTATTGGTGATTGTGAAAATGGAAGATGCTTGGAATTCTAAGGTGCAGGACTATCTTTATGTAACTTTTTTTTTTCAGCAAAGGCTGCGTAGACGTTTACTATTAAATTCACTTAATGGTTTAAAAAAAAAAAATCTTCATTATAATGACCTATTTTACCCAAGTTGTACAATAGGAGAAATTATTCTATGCGGACGCCAAACGTCGTCCAGAGATCAACTAGAATGCATCATGTCACCTCCTATTCGGTATCAAGCTCAATACTGTTTGATACTCGACCCACTACTATTGATGTGACGCATTCTGATTGATATCCGGACGATAAATTGCATTTGGCATTCATACAGATTAATTTCTCGTACAACATACTCATCCAAGCCTTGGGCAAATTGAAATGTAAGTTGTCAAATGGAAATAACGAAAAATGTCATTATAGCATTTTGTCTTCTAATTTTCACTAACCCTCCTAAGAAGATCCACAACATCATCTGAATTTAAGCCTGTTAGCAACGGTAGCATGTAGTTATGTCATTCTCTGGCTCTGATATAGACCTTTTAACCTTTCCTCTCTGATTTAGAACATCCTAACGATTTTTTGGTGGGCAACCTTCTAACTATTTATCTTTCACCAAGAAAATTTTATATTTATTTATATAATATTTAAATTTTTAAATCATATAGAAATATTATTAATCTTAATTTTTTTATACTGCAACATGATTGAGACAGTAATAACATAATATATATTACTATAAAAATTAAAATATTATTATATCTATTTGTGATATGTATGTAACCCACTGATCCTGTATTCGATCAGTATGTACAAGAAGTGCGGTAATTTTTTTCCATTGCAAAGGCTAAGGATATAAAATAGAAAAAATAGCTACAAAAAGTACGATAATATATACCAATTTGTATACAATGACTGAACCTGAAACAAACCTTAAACACATGCAATTATATAATGGACCTCTTTTAGTCGAAACGGATCCAAAATTTTTATTGCAATAATATAAATTTGGAATTAACAAAAACAAAAAATTAAGACCATTATTCTATTGATGCTGAAGCTATAATCAATTACTTTTCAGATAAATTTGTCAACAAAAAGTTTAGTTACTCTATCGTAGAAGTTATTTGCAGGACGCATTGGCAAAGCTCCAGCAAGAAGGAAAAGAATGAAGAGCACGAACAATTATTTGGTTCGGTGAACGTACGCTCCTCTACGTTCGGCCACCAACCTTTTAGCGCCACGTAGCACGAAGAAAAGTCGCCGACCCGACCTGCTATTTTTTGGGTTCTAGCGCGTGGGTTTTCTTAATTCCTTGACGAGCCGATCAACATTCCATCACCTTTTGGATATATTTTAAATATCTAGCAAATACCGAGTTGTACCTAGTTTTTTCTAGCAACACCGAGTAAATACCTAGCAATACCGAACAAATCCTGAGCAAATACCGAGTTTTTTCTAGCAATACCTAGCAATACCGAGCAAATCCTTAGCAATACCGAGCAAATCCTGAGCAAATTCTGAGTTGTACCGAGTTTTTTCTAGCAATATCGAGCAAATACCTAGCAATACCGAGCAAATCCGTAGCAATATCGAGCAAATCCGGAGCAAATACCGAGTTGTACCGACTTATACCGAGTTGTAGAAAAACTCGGTACAACTCGGTATTTGTATATTTTTGGTGTTCACAGAGCGGTATTTCTCATTTTTGCAAAGCAATACCGAGCAAATACTGAGCAATACCGAGAAAATCGCGAACATAGCATTCCCGGGTTCCGCTCCGGGTCAAGTCGTCGGGCCGCGCAGTAAAGAGTAAAAGCACGTGGCGACATGTTATTGACGGCCGAACGTACCTCTACGTCAGGTCAGAGGACGTAATAATTGTTCGAAGAGCACATAACGGCTCGCTGGGACTTTTAAGTAATAAAGCGCCACATATGATGCAGGAAGTAAATGAGCAGATTTTTGGTTTTAACATTTTCACGAGTATAAAAAAATAATAAGCACCACATAAAATGAATTAGGCTTCGTTTGGGGCAGCTTTTTTACTGTTTAAAGCTGCTTTTTAGTACACTAAAAAACTGTTTTAAGAAGCAATAAAAAAGTCATCTCAAACGAACCCTTAATCATCTAATTTTAACGAACCCTCAATCATCTAATTTTCTTGGTGTATTGTTGTGGCGGAGCTGCAGGATGTGATCTTTTTTTAGCCAAAGCTTTGATTCTGCTCTCTGGTTCATCATCATCCTCGCTATCACCAAGTCCATTTTCGTCGGCAGGGTTTTCTTTTTCATAATTTTTTGCAGATTTCTTCTTCACAGCATTTAGTTTCCCCTGTAATTTCTTGGCGACTGGATCTGCAGAAGATGCTGTTCTGTCATTTGGCATGATTTTGATTCCTAAACCAACCCTACAAAAATATAAATGAGACGCACACATCAAATAGTAAGGAAGTACAATAGTAAGAAATGTTAGTAAACATAAATAAAGATGAGATGGCTTAATAATGTTCAAGAGAAAAAAAGAACTACAAAGGTAGGAATAAACAGATGTGAAAGGGATTGCAAGAGAATCAAAGAAGGCCATCTCTATTGGGTAACACGAATCAAAGCAAATAATACAAATTAAAATGTTGGAGCTTGGAAAAAACATATCCTTGTGCTTATGTCTAATTTTCTGCATTCTGTTTGCAAGCATTCTAAACACCCTCAAACTATTTTTATAAAGCCAAATGAGCTCATAATTCAAAATCCAGCCCTTAAATTTTTTATTTGTGAATAATTTCTATAAAGATGATGATAATGATCCAACGGTATTCAGGGGCAAGACCCTTACCTTCCAATGCGACCGACAAATTCCGGTACGCTTTGGTCAGTTGCTGATTCGCTCGCTCCATCCATCCACATGTCAGCCTATAAAAAAATGATTGATTTCATAAAGAAAGGCTATCCCATTTTTCAAAACAATACTAAAATTTGAATTTGTAGCTACTTTAACCACTTTTACAAATAACATCAAAGTTTTACAAACGCATGGATATAAACAATCCAAGAAGAAAGGAATTACACTACTTTCAGCAAAAGAAACTATACTAATGTGTATAAGGGACAATTGAATGCATGAAGGAGACGGTTGAAAATGGCACTCTCTTAATGGTAAGTAATGGTATGCTTAATAAAATTATTGAGACAATATAATTTGTAGTGATTGGTTAATCCTTCTGTAACTTTATGTTAGAGAAAGAGTTAGAATTATTCAAGGATATAAATTAATGACTTGAAAGAGGGGGTATGAAAGTTTCTTCATGGAGGGGGTTCAAGCTGTCCACACAAAGAAGCGTACAATTGTTATGAAATCTTACAACCACTCACAGTAACATCTAGGAAAGAAGTAAAGAGAAAGTTTTACAAGATTATAATCAGATTAATACTTTAGTCCACAAAGAAAGCAAAATTTAAATTAGTGATACAGCTCTCCTATTTGGCAGCTGATGCAGCATCTATGTATACCCTTGAAACGCCTTACTTTATACTTGTTAGTTTTTATTTGTGAAAAAGAACTATTTACATTCCATGGAAGTAATCTATTTTGCTTTAGGACAAATTAGATTTGCATAAAAAGGAAATTTATTTCAAGAGATCTACGTTAATTATCGAAACCACAAAAATACAAGGTGTTATGTAAGCTCTAGTATGAATACTGACGTGGCAGTTATTTATGTGTAGATTTCCTTTAAAAATGTAGCATTACTCTTATAATCAAAGAGAAGCTCAAGTGACTGGCAGCAATTTAACTTTTCAGGACAGATTGTTCTATGGAACTGAGAAAAAAAAAAAAAAAGGGTCAATCTAATAACCCAAGACAACTGACGTGTAAACCCTGCATTTTACTTTGCAAGTAAGAGTAAGTGATGCAATCCTAGGAGTTGATAATGAAATCACAAATATCGTTGAATATGAAGAATATCCAGTACTATAATCAATTTATATGAATATGGCACGCCAAAAAATAAGTTCACAAATTAGCATTTGCAAACTTTTCACAGAAGATGGACTTAACATCAAGCCATGCTCTCACTTATAAAAAGATTAAACTAATCAAAATGCAATTGTACAAGGATTCTAAGAAAAAAAATGAAAATAGGAAAATGTGGATAAAAATGGACCATAACTCCAGCATATTTTGATGAACAGATCTAGGCCAATACGGCATGTCAAAAGGAAAAGCATGCCGCAGATGATAGCACAGCATCCACTTGAGGTTTCGTAGAATATTCCATACTTTTAACAGTCAACCTGAATGTTAGATGTGAAATCTCAAAATCTGTTTTTTATGATAAATGGACTTGTTTTCCAATGTTTTTTTTGGCATCAGAAACTAAAAAATATATTTCATCAAAAATCAACTTAAAAAAAAAAAGCCGTCTCTCCCTATTAAGAATGGCTAATCACAAAACCTAATATGATTAACCTTTCATGATTTCTCCTCCTCTAATCATTCAAATCGAGTGCTACAAGGAAATTAACAATATCCCTCAAATATCAACCTAGAAAAACATCTCTCCCTTGTAAGAATGGCTGATCATAAAACCTAATCCGATTGACATGTTATGATTTCTCCTCTATTCATTCACATTGAATGCAACAAGAAATATTAATAATATCCATCACAACTTCTAGCCATGCTATTTTTGAACCATCTCTTTTCCTTCCTAATCCATCCACATAAATTCTATCTACTCGACTTACTGGGGGAATCTTTTGTTTTACAATACATAAGCTCAATCCATTAAAATCTATTTTCCATGTGTTGAACTATCTCAGTGGTTATAGAGCAATGCATTGAAGATCATATGCTTATTGGCTCTCCAAATGGGGTCACATTCAAATCTCATTAGCATTATAGTTTGTGTGCTAATTATAAAGCTTCAATTGCCCACTTGTGTTTAAGCTTTTGAAGAGTAGGTCAGTCAAAGTGGTACTACATCACTGACAACACTCCACTAAAAAATTGATGAGAAGAGAATGTATCTTAAGTGCCCAAACAAGCACTTTGTCAATGATAATTCAAACATTCATTTTGTGAACCTAAATGAGGCCATTATTCAACTTCATTTCCAAGGAAATATCCCACATCACCATTATATGTAAACCACTTTGTTAGACCGATCCATGCTGTGGACCGGCCCAGCCAACCCTAGGTAAAGGGCCGGCCCTGATATACTCCAGGTGGACCAAGGGTCTGCCTATGCTACAGCCGGCCCTTGGGGGGGGGCCACTATTTGAATTTGGAGAAAAAGGAAAGTGCGGCTAGGGCAGAATTTAGGTTTGCAAGTAGGAGGGAATTAGGGTTAAGGTTATCTTGTGTTTGTTGAATTATTTGGTGCTTTGATGTTCTTGGGCTCTAGCGGTGTCTAGAGAGTTAGGAGAGATAGATCCTCCTCTCAAATAGAGGATCAATTATACCTTGTTACTTTTCTTCCGTCTTAATCCAATTATTATGTTGTTTTGCTATTTTTCCTTGATTTGTTGGAAGAATTGTGGAGGGAACTTGCTGAGATTCCAATCTTGATGCGTTTCGCTTGAGATCTACAAGTGTTTCCTATCAAATTGGTATCAGAGCGGTGTCTGGGGCAGTTTGGGCTGATTCCTGCAGCAATTTTTTTTCCATCGAACTGCTGTTTTTGCTGTTTTTGGGATTAAAATTCAGATTTTTTAGTCAAACAAAGATTTGGATATCAATGGCGACCAAGAAGGTTGATGTTTTAGAAGAACGCCTTGAGGGGGAGAGAGCAAAAACAAAGTGACGGCAGAGGAAAGAATTTCTTCCATGGAAGACAAACTTTTGGACCTTCAAGAGATGGTGAAGAAGATATGGGTTGTTCAAAACCAAACGGCGGCATCAGAGGCAAGAGTGCCGGTAGGAAGAAATAAAAACTCTAAAAAATCGTAGAGATGAAAATGATGTGGAGATCTTAGAGGGAGAAGGGAGAAGACCCCACCGAGAACCTTTTCAAAGGGATGAGAGAGGTGGAAGGTATGGGGAGAGGCGTGGATATGTGAAGTAAGAACAAAGGAGTGTTGATTGGGAAAGAAGAGAGGGAGATTACAGCCGGAGATGTGCTGATTTTGAAGGAAAAAAGGAAGAAATCGAAGAAAGGTTTGGGTACGAAAGCGGAAGGGAGGATCTGGATACCCAAGGGGACCCACTTTGGGAAGAGGAAATTATGGAGAAATCAAGGAACATGGGGGAGATCGAAGGTCCGGAAGCTGAAGATGTTCATCTTTGAATGGGAGGATGAATACGGGTGGATCTACAAAGTAGAGAGATATTGTCGTCAATGAATTAATGGAGGAGAGATTGACGGCAGTCGGCCTATGTATGGAAGGGAAGACATTGGCTTGGTATTAATGGAAAGGCATAAGGCAAACCATACGGAGTTGGAGAGAGTTCAAAGAGTGCTTATCGGAACGTTTCCGAACCAACAAAGGAGGGAACTTTTATGAGCAGTTCTTTGCCCTGATATATGAATGCTCAGTGGAAGAATACCATAATAGATTTAAGTACCTGGCAAGGAGACTGGACTAGCTATCTAAGACTGTTCTAGAAGGGAATTTCATGAAGGGGCTCAAAGCAGATATCTGAGTAACAATTCGGGTCATGAGGTCACATGGGGTGAAGCTATGGAGCTAGCTCAACAGGTGGAGGATCAGATGTTCCAGAAGAGCGGAGCAAGAGTTGGCAGTTCAGGTAGCTCATACAGGATGACCATCACTTTCTTAGCACCCAAGGAGCCTACACCGAACAATCTTAGTGAGAACCCAAGGGAGAAGCCTATAGGAGGGGGAAGTGGAGAAAACTTCAAGAAGCGTACGGACAAAAAGCTGCAGGAAAAGAGGGCGAAAAGATTATGTTTCATATGTGATGAGAAGTATACTCCGGGGCGCAAGTGCAGGGACTGAACTCTTCAGGTTCTCACTGTCTGTGATGATGAGGAAGCTGAGGGAGGTGGTAGTGAGACCTGAGTAGAGGAGAACAAATTGCATCTAGACGTGGCAGAGGTCTCCTTGAACTCAGTGGTAGGATTCATCCAGAGTCACAACATAAAAGTGAAGGGAGAAATTGTAGGCAGGGAGGTGGTGGTTTTGAGTGACAGAGGGGCTACCCACAATTTCATCTCCAACTTTTCTATTCATCTTTGGCGGGTGAAGCCGCATGCCAATAATTTATACCAATTAATACACTAGTGCTTCTTTCAACATTGGTTTAAGTCTTTTGATGTACTTTCATTATGACATTTTAAATGCTACTTTATTCATGCTTTGTGCGTGAAAAAAAAAAATTTTAACATTCTTGAAAAACCATTTTATTTTGATAATGTCAATCATGTTGATGATCACTTATAAAGAAGGGTGAGTGAAGCTGAACCATATTATCATATTAAGGCTAATGATATTTTGATCACCGACAACAAATGGCGAGCTAGGTCAAACTCCAAAGCTTCAACGTGATCATCACCATTCTTCGCTTTAAACTTATTAGAAAGCTATGTTGCATGTGTGTGTGGGTTCATATATATATATATATATATATATATATATATATAGAGAGAGAGAGAGAGAGAGAGAGAATCAGATCGATTCCCGCCCTTTCTTCTCATACTTTGACAATTTGCAGCTTGGTGCTGTAGCTATTTACAGCTATAAACTTATAATTTGTATGTATCCTATCTATATATCTTATATATTTTTCAGATTATGACGTGTAGGTGGCTTATTTTCATTTCTGGCATTGTGTTGTGGTTTTAGTATAATATTCTATTAGTAGCTAGACATCTGTTCAGTAAATTTTACAAAGCACCATGCATTTCAAAAATAAAAAAGAGTCCCACTTGCAAATAAGAAAACTGGCGAACCCTAGCCTATTGCCATCTACATGAACAAAAACAATAATACTAAGAACAGATGCAGGCAGTTTTCTTGCAAATTCTTGGAATTTCTTTATTGTATAATTTCGACTTAGAAAGGTATGAGATCATTTTCAGTACTCTTACACATAACTTTTTGCTATTATGGCTATCAAGGTCAAGAAAGAAATTTTGATTAGATGAAACATGGTAAAAGAACATTCTGGCTCTTACCTAAATATAGGGAGGGGTAAAAATATAAATCGCAAGAGATACAAATAATTACAAAACAACCAGAATTTTATATTGCGCTTGGTATAAATTAAACTGAGAGAAGCAAGGTCTATAGCAGGCCAGGTCAAATTTTCCAAATAAAATTATCCATCTTAAGAGATTTTAATTTATTACTATTTACTCTAGCTTCCAAATAGCGAAGCAATAAACACAAAAAGTTATAAGCATATGGGATTGAGCAAGCTGTTTAGGCAAGCAATAGAATAGAGTTCTAACAATGCGAGAACCATTTCCGAGCTAAAAGAAAAAAAGGCAATAATGAAGATCTGAATATTTATCAAAAACTGATAAATCACAGGTAAATTAATCACAAGTTTATACTTATAACTTAAAAATAAATAAATGAACATAATCTCATTGAGTATCTTACCAATTTGGAAGCTTTCTCAAACATCGATTTAGGGTGCATTTGGGATGCCATCCTTGTCAGTCTTGTAAGAAAAAAAAATACAAGATTCAGTTAGCAACTCAAAGAAAATCGCCACTCCTTCATCTAAGATGATATTAAACAATAAGACAAAACAGGATTAACCCTAACCTATGGGACCTCAGAGTATGAAAGGAACCTAACATTTTACCTTTCCTTATTCTAATAATAACCAACAATAGCAATCGCAAGTCACCAAGGAAGAGAGAGGACTCTAATTGGAGGAGGAAAACTAACACTCTGATTAAGAATTAAATGAATAAAATACAGGATTGTGAGAAAGGGGAAAAAAAGGAAAGGAACAAAATCACATTCTCTCCTTTTGAAGGAGAGTTTTAAGAGAGAAGAATAAATGCTACGATGCTCTCAATATAGCCCAAAATAAATCTTCAGTCCATTGGATTTGGAATGATGAAACATGGCATGTACAAGTCATATGTCATCCATTCAGTCCATTGGATTTGGAATGATGAAACATGGCATGTACAAGTCATATGTCATCCATTCAATGGCCTTGGAGACTTCTTTTGGGCTATGGATTGGATAGGAATGCATTTTCTACCAAAAAAAAAAGGCTCTCTCTCTTCTTGACTAAGAGATGAAACAAATAAATGAAGCTAACTGTCATATTTTCTCATGGCATTTATACCCATCTATTGAACAGTGAATTTAATACACACACATGAACATGATGCAAATACAATAAATAAAATGCCCATTCATGATTCACACTTGATCTATTATTTAATCCCATTTTAAGAAGCAATTTTGGAATATATGATTCAACATCCGGGAGAAAAAAAAAACTGATGTGTGAAAGGTATTCTTGAAAATTTGGTTTTGCAGCTTCTCAAAAAAATATTTTTATAGATTTGATCATTTATTAGATGAACAAACTAATTATTTAGATAAATTATACAGAAAAGAAATTATGTCAGCCATCAGGTCTGCCACTAAGAATATATATATATATATATATATGAACTAACCAAAGATACGGCATTTATATTCTTAAAGTGTATATATATCGCACTTAGCTTATCCTATATTAGGTAACCTGCCCCCAAATTCAAGCAGCTAATAAACAGGCCATTCGTCTAAAACCCATTTTTAAAAAACAGTGATGAATAATGGAACCGAAGATATCTTGGTAGCATGATTTAAGGAAAAGTTAACATAAATCCTACCAAAACGTTAAAAACGCAAACGTGAATCCTACAGAATTTTAAATCCATTTTCTCCCTCGTTTTACCTTGAGGGGCCGTATGGCAACAGGGTTTATGCAAGATTTGGGCAGGATTTACGCTAAATCCTGCCAAACGGGATTTGAGCGCCCCGTAAATCTCACGGCATTAAATCCTCCGTTTCCCTCCTTATGCCTTAAATACCGGGTTTACTAAATCCTGTAGCTCGGCGGATTTACGGGATTAGGCCGAAGAAGCGCGCGAAAGAGAGAAAGTTACCTTCACAGCGAGCGAGCTCCCATCGTTGCTTCCGATCAAAATGTCCTAACTTCCGATCCGACAGGAATCGTCGAAGGAGCGAAATCGAACAGCGAAGGAGGAGCCGAAGAAGCGACCCTTGCAATAGTCTTAGCTGGTGCGAAGCAACGGGGCCGAACAAAAAACAACCAAATAGAGAACATGAAACGTTAACCCTAGACGCCTCTAAGTTATTATTAATTAACTTAATTAATATAATTTAAAATATTAATAATTAAATAATTAGTAGCCTAATTAGTGCACAAACTAATTAATTAGTTTAACTTAAATAAATAGTTAGTAGTATAATTAGTAATTAAAATTAATATAATTAACTTACTCAATATAATACAAAGTAAATAAATATTATTAAATATAGAATTAATTAAGTTAATTGAAAATTCAGCCTATTAAGGCGGCAACTATATTCACACACACACAGATATA